TAGTGCACCCAAAAATGAAAATTCAGCCATTATCTACTCACCCTCATGCCAAGGGAGGTTCTGGTGAAGTTTTAGAGTCCTCACATCCCTTGCGGAGATCCCAAGGGGGAGTAGGTAGCAGCACAATTCCACCTAATGCAGGCTGATGGCGCTCCAGATTAAAACGTCCAAAACAACTTTTTATGTTGGGGCTTCAGGACACTTGGATCACTACGGATGAGCAGTATGGAGATATTTTGTGGTTTCAATTATGTGTTCTTGGACGTTTTGATCTGGGGCACCGTCAGCCTGCATTACGTGGAGTTGTGTTGCTACCCACTCCCCCGTGGGATCTCCGCAAGTGTTGTGAGGACTCTAAAACTTCACCAGAGCCTCCCTAATTGAAAACAGATACATGTAATCATTTCCAAAATTCACAACATTTTTTTATCTAATGAAAGTTTCTGCTTCAATCCATAATTGATTTCAAAACAGGCTGTTTTCACAATTTTTTTCCCCGAGTCCCGAGCATATGGACACAGTTTGGGGTGGTGGATAGGTCACAAAAAACTGGACTTCCACCCAGGACTTTCCCCTGGAGTTGTGTGCTCAGATCTGTGTGAACTTTGAGTGAACTCTGATTTTTTTAAGGTACGTCCTCACCATGTTTCTTTTTCTCAACAGTAACTTTTCTTGCCCATACCTAAAGACACCCAACCTTGTTTTTTTCCCTAAACCTAACCACAGTAACTTTACTTGCCTAAACCTAACCTCTGTAACTTTACGTTAATTACGTAACTGTACGTTAAGGACATAGCGTCATTAATGGTCATACGAATCATTCTATGAGAATAGGCTGTCCAGAAACAACTTTTTCACTGCAGTCACAGCCGGCTTGCTGTATTCTAGTGAGGCACGTGCGTGCATTGACAAACATCACCATACATTATGTCAATTAAAGAATGCTGGTTTAATGCAAAAGTAAGACTAACCCATTTAATCTGATGATACACTTAGCCTTTACAAGTATGTTGGAGAAATTCTGAAAATGCAGTGGCTAAGTTCAACATCTGAAATGGTTTTAATTAAGTTAATGTGTCTATCATGAGCATTTGTCAAATAATTTGTTATAAGATATTCCTACAACCCAGTTTTAGGTGACTTTTTGCTAATCAGCTTTTCAGGTCATTTGAAATAAAGAACAAAAAATGTTTCAGATTTATTAGTTTGATAAATGTTGACTTCCAGTGTGCTTAGAAATGTTGTGCAGGGTATATATTTTCAGGATTGTGACAAGTTTTTCTATAGATTTCAGCCCAAATACAAGAACACAGACAGCATGTGTGTCCAGTATTTACCAAGGCAACTGAAGCTGCAGTAGCCAATTGTTTACGGTTGCTGAAATATTTGGAACAAGGCCAAGGCTATTTGTAAAAACTGAATTGCATACTGCTATTAAAAGAACAGTTGTTGAAACAGCTGCGACATAGCTGTTGTTTTTTGGTTTTGTGTTCTTCTCACCCTCTTCCAACCATTCATTAAAACCATGTAAGTCCACTGTATAAATCAAAATTAACAAGAACACAATCTATTTTGTAGTGGTTATATAGCCTTCTGGTTTTTACTCCAGCTCTGGCAGTTACAATGTTGCCATAGAAATGGCGGAGTAATATTTTTAGTGATGAGCCAGGTGTGTCGTTATGCTGATTTCAACACATTCTAAATGTCTTGTTGACCAATCAGATTGCTTGGTTGGAACTTCTTGTTGTATAATGAGTACTACTGTCATATTATGCTATTGCTATTGTTAATAAAGTGCTGCTGACACGTATTTTACATGTCACACTAGGGGCAGACGTTGTGTTATGTGAGTACTACTGTCATGTTATGCTATTGTCATTATTTATGTGCTGTTAACACGTATTTTACACTGAACAAAAATATAAACTCAACACTTTTGTTTTTGCTCCCATTTTTCATGAGCTGTACTCAAAGATCTAAAACTTTTTCTATATACACAAAAGACCATTTCTCTCAAATATTGTTCACTAATCTGTCTAAATCTGTGTTAGTGAGCACTTCTCCTTTGCCGAGATAATCCATCCCACCTCACAGGTGTGGCATATCAAGATGCTGATTAGACAGCATGAACATTGCACAGGTGTGCCTTAGGCTGGCCACAATAAAAGGCCACTCTAAAATGTTCAGTTTTGCTTTATTGGGGGGTTCTGGGGGGGTCAGAAAACCAGTCAGTATCTGGTGTGACCACCATTTGCCTCACGCAGTGCAATACATCTCCTTCGCATAGAGTTGATCAGGTTGTTGATTGTGGCCAGTGGAATGTTGCTCCACTCCTCTTCAATGGCTGTGCGAAGTTGTTGGATATTGGCAGGAACTGGAACACGCTGTCGTATATGCCGATCCAGAGCATCCCAAACATGCTCAATGGGTGACATGTCCGGTGAGTATGCTGGCCATGCAAGAACTGGGATGTTTTCAGCTTCCAGGAATTGTGTACAGATCCTTGCAACATGGGGCCGTGCATTATCATGCTGCAACATGAGGTGATGGTCGTGGATGAATAGCACAACAATGGGCCTCAGGATCTCGTGACGGTATCTCTGTGCATTCAAAATGCCATCAATAAAATGCACCTGTGTTCGTTGTCCATAACATATGCCTGCCCATACCATAACCCCACCGCCACCATGGGCCACTCGATCCACAACGTTGACAT